TCTTCTTAAAACCCTTCCTATGAAGAAATGTAGTATGGTGTCTAGTAGTATAAAATAAGCTACTAATAGGTCACGGCTGGGACGGGGTGGAGCTATGGCTTGCCCTTAATCTGTGCGCAGGTCCAGCTAGGTGGCATCATAATGGGGTCTTGCTGGTCAGGGTAAGTCTCAGGGACAAGTGTTGAGGGTAGAAGAGTGCAGGGAGCAAAGGCTAGGAGCCTTAAAGGGATTTTCAGGAATGGATAGAAGTGAGGCTGGAGGGAACTAAGGAGAATGTGGGGGAGAATGCGCAGGTGATTCTAGAAGTAAGACTGGGAGGGGAAGGACAGATAGGGTAAATGTTCCATCCTGGCAGGAATGCCTCTTGTGGGGATCACTGATAACTCACTGCCTGGTACTGACTGCCCACTCTGCTGTGCTTGGGCTGAGCCACCTTGGTGCATTCTGCTTTGCCTAGAGCACAGACTGCATACCAGAGCTGTGCTGAGGAAGACAGAGGCCTGGCCTTGGGGCACCTGGAAAGCCACAGAAGGGCCCAAAGAATGCCCAGGCTGTGGTCAAGTGAGCTAGATAAAAAATGGATCGAAAGACATGATCCCTGGGGGGTTGGAGGACAGAGGAGGGGGGGAAGGAAGCCTGGAGAGACAGTGAATGGACATCAGAGACCAAGAAAAGCCCTCCAGCATAGCCAGCCATGGCAGATTCCAGAGCAGGTGGAGAAGTTATTCTCTATGATGTAATTGCCTTGAGCAGGGACGTTCCCTGGTTATTATAATAATAATTGGTGCCATTTACTAATCCCTCACTTTCTGGAAGACACTTTAAATATTCTAATTATCACTACTTCATACATAAAGAAGATGAGGCTTAGGAAGCTCAGGTAAACAGGGCTAAGAAGTAATCAGGTCTGAATTCAAACTGAATTAGAAGTTATGACTTAAGATTTTTCTGAGACGCAAATCTGCCTGATATCCCACAGAAGTCTGAAGGTCCTAAAACATTTTACTATGCCTGTTTTTTCTGCATAGGTAAAATACACATCTTGTACAAAAGAGTGTGGGTTTATCAACGTCTCCCCGCTTCCCTGTTGACAGGTTACCCAGCTTCCCTCCTTGGACGCTAGTATAGTTGACATTTCTCTTGTGCTCTTCCTGAGATATTCGATGTGTTTATAAACACATTCATATTATGTGAAGTTTTTCATTAAGTGAAGTGGACCATATTATGTGAGCTGTTACGCACTCTGCTTTTCTCGTTTAACTTGTACGTAATGGGCTGCACACACTTGGCTATATGAAAGGGTGAGGCTTGTTTCTACCTTTGCGATGTCTCAGGAGATTGCCTGCGCTCTGTATCACATTCAATAATAAAACTGTTTTCTTTCTCTTCCACCTTTGTGGAGAGGATTTTGTTTTAATTATATTTCCACAACATGAACCTGCTGTGCTACTGTTCTGATCCTTACTCTTCTCTTTGGAAAAACACGCAAAGCCCTATTCCCACCCACCCCCAGGCCAGGAGTCCTGGGAGGGTGATTCTGAGGGTAACATGACTTGGTGTGTGAATTTCTTCTCAGGGAGGCTAGCACAGGTGAGGCTTGGTGACTGGCAATTGTTGCCACTGCTGTCACTGATTTCCTTCTTCCTTTGGCCCGTGGTATGGCTGCCTGGGTTCAGAGCAGGAGGTCAGATGGGTCAGTTTCAATAAAGATCTTGGCTCTGCCACTGACTAGAGGCACAGGTATGGGAAAATCTCTTCAGCCCTCCTAGACTCAGTTTCCCTATTTGCAAAAACAAAGGGCTTTCGGCTGGCTACCCTTCAGGGCTTTGTTGCCTTCAACGACTGGTGGTCATTGACTGGCTCTTCTCTGTAATGGGGGCCTCATGCACAGCATTCTAGCCACAGAAACCTTCCCTGAACCACCCCTATCTTGGTGTGTGGACGAGGAAAACATCTGGAATTCTATAGCACCTCGACATTAAAGGAGCCTATTTCCTGAGGCCAAGATCAAGTTTTCTCATTATTTTCCTGGTGCTTGTCATAGAATCATGACCACATCGCAGTAACTGTGTGCATGTAGCTCTCCCCACATGCTCAGCACACAGAATGCCCCTGCACAGGCCTGTTGACACTGGTGGAGTACTGATTTCAGTACCCCTTTTCAAAAAAAAAAAGAAACAGGCTCAAATAAATGGAACCACCAGCCTATTTGCATGGGGTCAGAAGTTGCTTAACTGGGTTTCAAATCCAAGTATCTGCCTAAGAATCATATTTCATTGCATGTCCACCCATGTCCTCCTTGGTGACCCCGTTTTCCCTCCGAATGCCACCCTCTGTGAGCGGGTCTTCTCTGACAGTCCCTCCATATCCGCTCTCCGCCCTGCTCAGGCCTCTCTGTGCCCTGTGAGGCTGCTCCTGGCTCCTGGGAGCCCTGTTGTTCTGTGGATCCTGGTCAGTGGCACTGGAGGCCAGGAGGAGAGAGCAGTCAGCCTCCCCTCCCCCTGCTCTTTCCCTGCTGTTCTGGCAGTGGCCACCTCTCCATCCCGGGCTCTCCTGGCCTCCAGGCAGGCCTCGCTCAGGGTTTGGTTCTCCCTGGGCTTCTCTAACACTCCTCCCTCCATGGCCCCTTCACCTGAGACATGGTCACTGCTTTCCACCGCTGCCAACCCTGGATGCTTCCAGCCCTATCTCAGGAAATAGGCCTGTCCTTCAACCTCTTCAAATGCCTCTTTGCATGTCCTCCTTTAAACTCTCATCTTGGAGTGGGCCAGCTGTTTCTTCTCAGGACCCCGATTGCTACATGTGCCTCGGCCGCGCCCCCATTTCCCTTTTTATTTTCTCTTCTGACGCACTAAGAAGTCACACAGCCTGGCCAAACTGCAGCTCTGCACGTCCACTCTCTGGGGAGAAAGGTTGATTTATGATGAAATGGATGGTGGGAGCCTGTTCATTTCTCCAGCACCTCCAGGCAGGCACAGAGACAGCCCAGGGGGTACAGTGGTGAGTAAGACGCACCTTCCTTCATGGGGCATCACAGCTCAAGCCTGCAATTCGCCTGCTATGGGAGCAAGTCACTGGCTCTCCCTTGGGCCGTGGCCTTCCACGTGATATTCTTCTAGATAAACAAAGGCGTTCTCTGCTTTCTGCTGACCTTGGGGATCTCAGACATCGTCCTGGGTGGTAGAAACCCAGGGTTCCCCTCAGATCCCCTGGATAGTGCAGGTTACTAGAGGCCACTCTTTGAAGAACCACTGTCTTCTTTTGGCTAAAGAGGGACAGAGTACCAGAGTGATGACCAGTGCTGCCACATGGCTTCTTGTAGGGACCTGCTTCACAGTGGCCAAGGGGTCGCAGCCTGTCCTCCCCGGCCCTGCCGTTCTGGTCTGCATGAGCAGCACTTCCGGTCGTCTGCATACTTCTACATTTTACAAGTGATGGCATGAGGCCATGGATGCTGCTGTCTGAATCACAGTCTGTGGACTCTGGCAGGGTAGTTAAAAATTAGCCATGGCTTGTGCACTGTGTCTCTGCTTTGAAGCTGGCTGGGATTGCTTAGATTCCAGGCTTTTGGCTAAACCAATTAAAAAAGCCTGTTTTCTCCTTTGGAATTTAATACTTTGGACTGAGATTAAATCAGCCATCAGAGATAATGAAGGAGATTTCTATTACCTGAATGATACATTCTTGAAGCTTTGAAGTACATTTTTGATGTTCCTAGTCCAGAATTATGTTTTCCTCCTTGACACCTGAACTCCACCCCCACCGTTACTCTCTCTGGAGTCTGTATTCTTTTCTTGACTAAATTTCTCCCCAGCTTCCAGCAAAACTTTAGAGCTAGACAATCAATCTTGAGTATTAAAAAATAATATTTCTATGTAGTATATATACATGTATAACATGGAATGCTACTTAGCCATAAAAAAGGATGACTAAGCTTCTCCCAAGCTTACGCCAAGACCTTAGAGATAATCAATCTTGAATATTAAAAAATAATATTTCTATGTGGCATGTCCATACAAATACACAAACCACTGAATAGTACTCAGCCATGAAAAAGAATGAAATAATCTCTTGCAGTGACATGGATGGAACTGGAGGCCAGTATTCAACAGAGCGTGTCAAGAACAGAAAATAAATGCAGCAAGTTCTCCCTTGTAAGTGGGAGCTAAAGCCATAGTGATGCATGGCCGTACAGGGGACTTAATGCACTTTGGATGTGCAGAAGTGGAAAGGGGGAGGAGGAAAAGGATGAAAAAATTACCTATTAGGTACAATGTCCACTACTCAGCTAATGAGTACACTAAAAGCCCAGACTTCACCATTCAGCCACGTAACAAAAAGCCATTTGCAGCCCCTAAGTCTGTTGGAAATTAAAAAAAATAATAATATTTTCAAACCCAAGAAAGGGAATTAGATAAATAAACTGTAGCATACACATTTAGGAATATGGGTCTATATCATCATGCTGATGTGAATTTATTAATACATAAATAAAATCATGCTAGGAGATTCAGTGTAATCCCATTTTATTAAAAATAATGTGGAATTATATAATCTGAACAGTTAACAGTGGTCACCTCTAAAGGATTACGGGTAATGATGATTTTCTTCCTTCCCTTAACTGTGTTTTCTAACCTTTAAAAATTACCATTTATTAGTTATGAAATTTTAAAAGACTTTTTTTAAAATAAAAAGGAATGTTCCCAAATCATCAATGCTGTATACTAGGATTATAATTATCTAAAACACAGGGCTTGAGGTCATTCCCATTTAAACATAAGGGATATTTCATTTCCTGGAAATAACTGAGAATAAAAACCAAATCGAGCTTCTCCACCTCTCCCATTCTGCATTTTCCTTGCACGTGGAAACAAGGAGTGTGATGCATCTTGGAGCTGCCTGTCTTTCGTCCAACTTCCAATGCTGAAATAGCTGCCTCTGCCACAGAGACTGTGCTGACAAACCCCTCACCTCCCAGGTCACAGTGGAATCTTGCTTACCTGGAACTGTACACAGGCCTCTTCATGGGCCCAGAGCTGGCTGATGAGCAGGTAGGTGATGAGCCCTGCCACGAAAGGAAGAGACACCAGGTAGCAGGTGAGAGCCCAGCGTCCTCTGCTCTTGGCCTTGGGCCTGCAGCCTCCATCCTCGGGCAGCATTTCCATGCTGGCTGTTTCCCCAAAGCCCAGACTCAGAGCCTCTGCCATACTCCTCCTGCTGGTCTGGAGGCGCCTCTGACTCTGGGCCAGAGACCCCCCCATTAAATAAGCCTTGACAGGGGTTGAATTAATCACTGCCTACTCCTCCCCTTTTCTCTTCCCCCCTCCCTGCCTTGAGCACACTACAGCCCTGCCCTGCAAGGGAATGTACCGCCCACAACAGAAACCAAGTTTGGTTTAAGAAAAAAAAAAAAAAAAAGAAGAAGAAGGAGACGGAGAAGAAGAAGAAGGAGACAGCTTTCCCAAGCGTATTTATATACAGTATACTCATGTGCTCCCTCCTTCGTTTACAGAAGGAAGTTAGGAAAGTCCCTGCAGGAGGAGAGAAAGAATTCATCAAGTCAGTGGGTGGAGTAAATTAAGATCTACCTGGTCCCCACACTCTGGAGAGCAGCTAGCCTGGCCGGTCTGGGAGTGCTGCTGCTTCTGGAAGTGAAAGTGAGAGACAGAGGGTGTGTGGCTTGCATACTGGGAAGTGGAAATCACGTTTGCATCAGCCCTTTGCAAAGCTCTGCCCAACCCCCTGTCTTTTTGAACCTCCCAGAACTCATTCCCATCGTACAGATGGCAATATCCAAGTTCTGAAAGAGGAGGACATTTGCTTTAAGTCACTCAAGGATTAAGACAGAGGAGCTATGAAGATGACCTAGTCCTAAATCATGGCTTGGGGTTCTGGTCTCTACCACACTACTGCCTATGACAGGAAAGTGTGTTTGTAGCCCGCACTGAACGTTGTCTAAGCAGAGTGTATGAAGTCGTAAATGGAAGTGACTGTCTGTGAGGAGAGGACATTGACCCCTACGGCCTGATTAGTCCAAAGTTAATTGATCACCAGTGATATGCCTTGCCGCACAGTTGGAGTTTGGCCAGGGCTGGGTTTGAAACCACCACCCTTGGTATATGGGGCTGGTGCCCTACTCACTGAGCCACAGGTGCCGCCTCTTGCCACACGGTTGGGAGTGCAACTGTGGTCACCTGTTGGAGCCGCAACAGGTGATAAAGGTTTATATTTATTAAGTGCTTACTTTGTGCCAGTATTCAAAGTTAAATGTGCCAATAAAATGATGTAATCTTGAGATAACTTGTGGAGTAGTAAAGTCATTGTTCCCGTTTTCCAGATAAGAAAATGAAGCTTAGAGGTTAAGGGGTAAAGCCAGTATTGAGACTCAGGAAGGCAGAGCTTCTTCCCATCGTGCTCTCCACAACACACCCTATTGCACTGTGCGGGACACAGACACCTGTGCCCACCCTGCCCAGAAGGACGTATCCCCTCCCGTGAGGGGATAGGGAGGCTTCCTGGAGAAAGAGGTAGTGTTGGAACTGGGTCTTGGAGCTCAAGGAGGCATGATCTTAGAAGAGAGTGGAAGACCCTGCAAAAAGATGGGTTCTGGGAACAGAAAAGCTTAAGGGATAGCTGTGGAGTATGACAACAGTTTGACCACAGCGGCCGTTTAATTGTTACTTCAGCTTATGTCACAGCCAAAGCCCTTCAAGCTGCTTAGAAAGGCGTTTCATGTCCTGATGCCTGCTCACTCTCACCCCTCCCCGTTGTCCAACCTCACTTCTTACTACTTTCTCAAGTTGCAGTCCCCAGACAGACTACAGGCTGGCTGTCCTGTCACACAAGCCGTTTTCTCTGCTGTAGGAGAGTGAATACAATAAGTTATAGTCCTGTGCCCTTCCTCCCACCTTGCTCCGCTGTTCATTAACTCTGAAGGAGCTTTTTTTTTGCATCATCTTGTCTCCAAGACTGGGTGAGGTGCTCAGACTCTATGTTCATATAGCTTCCCACTCTTCCCTGTCATCGAACACTTTAAGCTCGTCTGTGTTTGGCTATTTTTCTGTCTCCCCACAAGACCATCAGATCTAGGAGGGCAGGTACCAAGTTACATCTTTTCCCCATGGCCGTGGCTCCTAACATATGAACTGTTCCTTAGGAGAGGACATCTGACACATTTGCAAAGAATGATTTTCATGTTCCATGGTTACTCATTCTTGGTTTAACACATTGCGAAACTTATTTGAGACTAACCTAAATCTTTGCTATTGTAACTTCATCTTTCATTTGACGACTGAGTAGTATTCCATGATATGAACGTACCACAGTTTCACTCTTCACCCACTAAAGGACATTTGGTTTATTTCCAGTGTTGAGATATTATGAATAAAGGCTGTTGTGAATATTCATGCTCAGGTTTTTGTGTGAGCATGCTTTTATTTTTCTGGTATAAATGTCCACGACTGAAATCGTTGGAGCATATGGTAAGCACAGGTTTAATTTTGTAGGTAAATGTTGTTCTGTTTTCCTGAATGGTTGAATCATTTTACTTCCTACCAGCAAATGTGTGAAAGCGCCAACATCCTGCCTGCATTCTCTCTCCAGCATTTGATGTTATTACCATTTTTTGTTATAGCCATTCTGATAGGTGTGCAGCAATATCTCACTGTGGTTTTAATTTACATTTCCCTAATGGCTAACAATGTTGAACATATTTTCATGCACATATCTGCCATCTGCTTTTCCTTTTTGCTGATACAGGCATCTATTTTTGGCTGCTATGAAGTTCTTCTTTTTTTATTTTTAGTTAAATCATAGTGGTATAAATTAAGGCAATTATGGGGTACAATGTGCTGGTTTTATATACCATTTGAAATATTTTCATCAAGCTGGTTAACATAGCCTTCACTGCATCTTCTTAGTTATTGTGTTAAGACATTTATATTCTAGACTTAGCAAAGTTCTTCTTGCTTCCTTCTTGATTCTCAGTGGATTCAACAGCAAAAGGTAAAACCACTTACAGATAAGTGATAAGTCACTGCACTTGAGTGCCTACTCTGTGCAAGATCATGTTCTAGGTACTGAAGATAAAACATTGAAGAGAACAGACAAAAATTGCTGCTTTCATGAAGATTCTATTCCAGTAGGAGAGATGGCTAGTGAATACAATAAATTATAGTACATTTGATGGTGGTAAGTGGTTTAAGAAAAAAACACAGAAAAAGGAGCTAGACAGTTATCTTCATTGCAATAAAATAGGGTGATCAGAAAGACCTGAAAGGAGACATTTGTGTGACGACCTGAGGCCACATGAGTTTCTGAGGGAGAGGGCTGGCCTCAAAGAAGTTGTGCATGGCATGTATGATCAGGTTGGCTGGGACAGTGGGTGCAGAGCAGTGCAGGAGCCATGAGGTCAGCAATGACAGAGGAGGCTTACCATGCAGGACTTCTTGGAACTAGGTAGGATGTAGCTTCTCCTTTGACGAGTGGGGGTCTTTTGAAAGTGTGGCACAGAGGGGTAGAAAGTTCTGGTCTCACTTTAAAAAGGTCATCCTGGCTTCTGTGTTGAGAGAAGCCTGAAAGGAGGCCAGTTTGGACACCTGTGTGGCCATTCAGACAAGTTCTGATGGTGGCTTGGTTAGGATAGTGGCAGTGAGTGTCACAGAAATAGTGGGTCCTGGATATATTTTGAAATATAGAAGACATAATTTCTTACCAAGCTGGATGTGGAATGAGAGAAAAAGAGAAGAGAAAAGTCCAAATTTGAGGTTTGAACACAGGGTAGATAAAGGTGTCTTTAATGGAGATAGGAAAGATTGTGGGGGAAGTTTGAGATCTTGGATTGAGACTAGTGACACTTAAAGGGACTTTTAGATGACCAGGCAGAGATGATCTGGGGCAGCTGGATGGAAAGTGTGGGCTCCCAACGAGAGCTTGTATGGAGGTGGTAATTTGAGAGTCATGCTTAAAGTGGAGGTGCTCCATAAGGGTCCTCCAGTCCTGTACCTACGATCCCTGGGGCCATGTTTTAGAAAAGCATTAGGTTGAACCATCTGAAGTTGCCAACATCTATTCACCTTTGATTTACAGCAGTAATAACCTAAGAAATGGTTTTTAGATGACCTAAAAAACTCAAGAAATCATCAATCTCATAACGACGCCAAATCCAGAAGCAAGTTTAAAAGACTGATAAATTCAACTCCATTAAAGGAAAACCAAAAACAAAGGAAATTTTTGTATGACAAAAAAAAAAAAAAAACCTACAACCACACTTCCAAATGAGGAAAGTGAGAAAAGCTGTTTGTGACTTTTATCACAAACAATGAGCCACTATTTAATATACAAACTAGAAATATTTCTGTAGCCCAACAACCCGCTTATCCTGAATGGGAGAGATGAGGATTCCAAACAACAAACACATGCATGACCTTTCAGGTCAGCCTTTGCTGCCAAATGAGTTATAAAAGGCTTCAGTTTTTAGAGCTTTTGGGGTTTTAGCTTATGTACTTGTGTTATCATTCTGGTGGTCGCTATTATTATTACCATTCTGTGTGACCTCTGGGGGGCTGAACTGGGTCGGTAAGTGGAAGTTACTGAGAGGGAAATTTCAGCTTCATTTTAAGACTTTATAAATCATGCTGCTCCCTTAGGTGAGAGCTCTCCGTTTCAAGGCCAAACATAGGACCCGAACAACCACTGGTGGGGGATATTTTAGAATAAATTCAATAATTGAAGAGGGGATTGAAGTTGTATTTTATAGCTCTTGATCTTACTGAGACAGAATGACTCTGAATCATTTCTACTTTTCAGGTCTTGTTCTCTCCATCTGTGAAATGGGGCCTGGAAATTGAACTTGGTGATTGCTAAGGATACTTCTGGCATGAATGTCTTCAAGTTTCTGTGTCTTCTCTTTGCTCACAGCTCATCTACCTCTGCACATCCTTGCTCACATCCTTGTTTGCTGAGGAACCCCTATCTCAGACTATACCATAGCAATTTCTCTAAGATACACAGGGAGAGGTCAGCAGGGGCAGCTGGGATGGGCCAGCAGATATTTTTCTGGTTGCTTCTTGAGTGAGAAAATATTAAGAAAAAAGATCATTTTTTCAGTAAATACTTCTTGATATCTCTGCAAGAGTGCCTATCTGGGGCACAGCTCTACTTCCCTGGATGGCATTGATGGATGCAGGGCCTGCCCTTCCTGGTTTTCTTGGGAAATGAGCTATTTGGTCAAAGAGAATTTTTCTGTGGCTTAACCCACACCCATCTAAAGGACAACAGAAAAAGGT